ATTTTTGTACTATTGAAATATTACATTTGTAATTTTTAATTTCAATTAAATTATTCATGAAAATTTTTTGATTAAATTTAGGTGATTTTGCGGTCTTAATCGAATCTGGCCTTTCAATTCGTCGTGCTATGTTCCTAAATTTCCTTTCTTCTTTAACTGCATATGGAGGCTTATTTCTTGGCTTAGCAGCAATTAGTGTTGATAGTGCAGTGGAGATATTACTTGCTATAACAGCTGGAATGTTTTTATATGTTGCTTGGCTTGATATGGTATGTTAAGCTTTTCCTTTTTTTGTCATATCGTCAATTTTTTTTTCAATCATGACAAAAAATTGAGGATTGTTTCGGCCTCTTTCATTGTTAATACCTTAAATTTGAATAATTGAACTTTTATTAAGATAAGTTTGTTAATATGACAATGAATTTTTGCAATTTCGATTTCAATAAAACAAATTAATGAAAAAGAGACCCGAATAATTTGAACAATCATCTATCCAACATCTTTAGAAATTGGTTTTTGATGCTCATAATTCCCCCTTTTCCTTGAACAGGATAAATCCTGGTTACAGTTCTATGATTACAAGAATTAGCATCTTTGTTAGCGCATATAGCATAGTGCTCTTTGTTTTAAGATACATAAAAACAATGAACGGACAATTTCCGCTTACACATATCTTATACTCAGCGATATTAAATTAACAAAAGAATGCTTCTCCTCGTGATTATACCCTAATATTTTATCAATAATAGTGTAAATGAAATTGATTTGTACGAGTTTTTAGGATGAAATTTAATTTTTCAGAATTTCAATTTTACATTTTGTAATAAAATTGAATTAAAAAAAAAAAACGAAGATTTTGATTTAATCTAATTTAATTTAATTCAGATTAATTTTGAAATATGCCTATCGATTATATTTTTATAAGAACACTTTAAAAAAAGAAAAAAAACTGTATGCATAATTTTATAGTTGATACATTTGAAAAAAGAATCAACATCAACAAACGACAAATGGTATATGACATTGCTACTTCAGAATATCGGTTTCATCCCAGGATTTTTGATTATGTTTATAATTGGTTGGTATGAGGAAGCACTTGCGATACTTTAGATGCTATTAGCATATAAGCATTTTATTTTATTTTTTTTTTAATTTTTGCTAAAGTTAAATTTCATCATAATGAAAAAAGAAAGAATGATTCTTTTAAAATTTGAATTTTTTTTTTTTCAAAAAAATTATAATCATTAAGATATATATTTTGTGAATAAAAAAAAAAGATGATGATGCATAATTTATGTTAATTTACATAGAAATTTTGATTGATATGTTAAAATTGGAGGATATTTTATCAACGAATTACTTAAATATCGTTGTACATTTTACAATAATACAAATTGTCATTGTTAGATGGCAGTAAATTTATTAATTTACTTTTATAATTTTCGCTCAATAAATTTTATCTTTTTTTCTTTTTTTTGACATTCTTAAGTTCAATGTAAATTTTTACTGCTGTATTGTAATTTTTCTTCCTGTTATTTTACAATGTAATAATTATGAAAGCTTGTTGTATTGCTATATAAAATATAAAAATTAAACGAATTCTTATTCGATTATTGTTTGCATTCGTAAAAATTATAAAAATTTTTGTATTATTTTTGTTGAAATTGTAAAAACAACGAAGATTACAATGAAGATTATTATATAATTAAAGAACATTTGGGTGTTTTGCTCCTCCAAAAATTTAAATATTGTCCTATTGACCTTTTGACCCAACAATATATTGGTATCCTTTACCGTTGGGATAAATAAAAAATGAATTGTTCAGGTGTAAGAATTTGCTGTATCACTTTCAACAAGTTAATTTGTTGAATTTTGTAAAGCAGGCATAAATAGGATGTATTTGGTAAATCTTCCAATTTAAAAAAAAAAAAGCTGATACTAATTTAATATTCTAATGTCTCACTTCACGTAAGATACTGTCAGGTAATTCTGCCATAATCACGTACAACTTTCTGGCGGTGTACGTGAATTGTGATGATTTGTGACTTGGAAATCATATAATATATATATATATAATACACTAATTCTCATCAATACTACAAACAATTGAATGAAATACTTCCTATATTAAAACGTATAACTCCAGAAAGGCGAATATTATTATGGAAATAATTTTAAAAGAATTCAAAATTCTAAAATCTGCAAAATGTACGATATATTGTCCATTTCTTCGTTAGCTTTTTCATACAAAAAATCTTATTAATTCCGAAGCTAAAAAACATCATAATGTGACCAATCATGTGACACATTTCTCTTGAACTTCTACCCAATTCGTAAGTAATATTATCTTTCCCCGTATGTAATATAAAATATATATCTTCCCTTAACTTTTCCCACCAATGCTACAAAAAACAAATTGTTATAGAAAAAAAATTAACCCGCTGAAATTTTGTTTACCTCGAAACTCTTTCTTGAAATGTCTCATCTATATATATATATGCCGAAAAAGTAATGTTACCTGACATTAGACCTTTAACCTCTCCAATATGTATGTATGCAAATCTTTTCCTCTATTTCCCGCCTTTCACATATAACCTTCATTTTCTTTTTTTTTTTGCACTGTAAATCACATAGTTTATTATTTCTTGACATTGTCTGTTGATCGAACATTTCCGCCAATGTTCATTGTTTGCTTTCGAGCTACTTCTAGCGTGTATTTATGCTTCTATTTGGAAAAAAATATTGCATATCTTGCAATTTAGAATTCTCCCTACGACAATTGCGCTTCTAACCTTTATTAATCATATGTGAAAAATTCCCTCCAACGTGTATTTATGCTTCTATTTACAAAAAAATATTGCATATCTTGCAATTTAGAATTCTCCCTACGACAATTGCGCTTCTAACTTTTATTAATCATATGTGAAAAATTCCCTCTTAAGCTACATAATACATTTCTATCTTATTTTGATAGCAATTAATGTTACCTTTCCATTTGTAAAAACATATCTTCCTTTCTTTAACCTTCCCGCCAATCTTACAAAAAACAAATTCGCTCAAATTTCGTTTCCCTTGACACTTTTTTCTGCAACTATTTATTGTTACCTTTCATTAGATGTTTAATTTTTGAAGTGTATTAGATGACCATACCATTCTCTCTCTCTCTCTATTTCCCGCCTATTATACCCTCCTTTTATTTTTTTTTTTTTTCTATACTATAATCTCATTAACTTTTTTGTTTTTTGACACAAATATAAA